GAGGATTAATTCCAATGTATAAGAACGACGTTCTAGGTCATGCGCTACCCTCGGGATTACGTCCTCCCCTGATAGCTATATTTACGTGATATTGTCTGGTATCATATTTCCCATTGTAACAAGTTCCTGTGAAGAAGAGATCAACATCAATGGTCGAGCACGACACAGTGGTAAACGTGCCGGACTGCGGATTCGAGGTTCCATGGTTCGCACTTCGTTTCAACAAAAAAACAATCGTGCTCTGCACTTTTGGGTTGTTAGTGTGTTACATGAGTGACGGTCACATCCCACTATTCGATTACAGCAGCTCACTAGTTGGCAGTGGGTGGTGTTGACTAGCTGCCTTTTATTGAGTCTATCATATAAAAAAAATTAAGGACGGCTGGCGCAGGTAGTTCTCGAGTAGCTTTGCACGAAATTCAGTAACAAACTACAAGTCAATATCTGATTACACAGCTTGGCAAACTTTCCAGTAACTCTTCACTATATATATACATACACATATATATATATATACATATATATATGTGGATTTCGCATCATGCGTGACCTAGTGATGTATTCTATGACTATGAATTCTGGGGTTCATTTTCGTAGAAACGCGTTCTGCATTTTGGGGTCATGGGTAGCGCTATAAGAATAATGGTCAAATCCCTATATTCTGCCAAATGAAAAAAAGCCCAAAACGTGGGTGATTATAGCTTTTCTCTGGTATATTAGCTCGAAATTAGGGACGGCTATGCACGGATGTCCCTTGTGTAGTTTTGCGAGAAATTCAGTAGCAAACTACAAGTATGTGAAACAATTTTAAACAAACCGAAGACACGAAAGTACATTGAAGCTGCACTTGAAGTACGTGTGTGTTACTTAAGAAGTATGTATCCGAATGGGATCGCTGCAAATCGAATTTCTTATGTTATTTTTTTTTACGTGAAAAAAAGGCTGATTCTGATGGAAGCTTGTGAGCTTTTACTGATTTCAAATTCTTGCTTATCTTGTTGACAGAACAATAGATACGCCATGTACTTTTACCGTAATTACATTTTTTGTTCTAGAGTGGAGAGCAGTCTTTCTTAACGATAGTTTCATTTCTTAGATAAGAAAATTGTGCCGGATTGGCCCGAGATGTGATTTCGGAGACTGTTGCTCTCCTAAATATCTTGTGAGTATTCCCGCTTTTTTCTATAGAACACTGAAGTTTCCTTTCTATGAAATGTTGTGTCCTTTAATTCAATCTTTTAACAATCTTATTAAACGAATATCTTTCTTCGAAAATGGCTGTGACATAGGTTCCAGCAGATAAAATTTAACATTTGAACAGAATAGTACAAATTACTTTCAAACATAAGAACAGTTGAAAATATCTCCAATTTGTAGTAAAGCTATTCGATTTTACCCCAACAGAATAATTTATATAAAACAATTTTTCTTATAAAAATATTTTACATCACTAATACGGATTTACAGCGAAATTTTATATTTAATAATATAAAAATACCCTGTACTCTACATTATATCCATATTTGGATGTATTGCATTGTCGAATAGTCGGGAATTCATCGTGAGATAACTACATATAGGTAGTACAGCTCATACCTGCTATGATATTCTACCGCATTAATATATGTAGATTTTTCTGAAAAATTGTAACGAACTTTCGGCATTAACTGAGTGCAAGATAGTGAAGTAATGCTGAAAGTTAATTGTTATATTTTAGATGCGTTGTCGTCACTTTGACAACAATTATTTGTTTCTATTTTCAGACTATAATGACCGTAAAGTGAAAACAGCTCGAGGAACTAAATATTAGAAATGAAACAACGAATTCTCCTCAAACCATACAATGAAAACTAACTGTACAGTATAATATTTCCGCTTCATTCAGCTTAGGCCTGGCATTTCCAGGTGGCTAGGTCGCTCGACTCGCAATCTGAGGATCGCGGGTTCGAATCCCCGTCCCACCAAAAATGCTCGCCCTTTCAGCCGTTGTGACGGTCAATCCCAGTATTCGTTGGTAAAAGAGTAGCCCAAGAGTTGGCGGTGGGTGGTTATGACTAGCTGCCTTCTCTCTAGTCTTACACTGCTAAGTTAGGGACGGCTAGCGCAAATAGCCCTCGTGTAACTTTGCGCGAAATTCAACAAAACAAAATAAATGTTGTTTGATCAAATAACAGTTTATTTGATGCGTTAAAATCTTATCTCAGAGTTTGGTATTGAAACATCTGCTTATGCATTAAACACTGCATGACATAAAAAGATAATCAATGTAACTAGTGATCTTCTAACTTCAAGCACACTCTTTGTCAAACTATAAAGAACGACATTATTGTAATTAATTTGTTTTGAATAAAGACTGACGTACACCAGATGACGTCGTAGTATTAGATTTTACTGTATGAATAACATTGATTTGCACACACGCTGTGCAGTGGGCTGTTAGATTAATCTCAGAAATGTCCTAACAAAAGACACATAATATGATATTCTCGAATAATGAAGTTTTTTCATTTAAACAGAGTGTTCGAAAATTTACCACAATTATATTAATTGAATTTAATTCATTGTGATAAATCAGTTTTTTTTTCTCAAGGTGGCTTTAAAATGTTTTTGACGATCCGCAGCGAAATTAATTGAATTTAAAAGATATATATAGAGAAAGAGAGAAACGTGTAAAATATTCAGTTTTTTTATTTAAAATTTTATTTTTTGTATCTAAAACTGATTTAAAGGCAGTTACTTTGATCGTAAATTAAACGAGAACACAAAATGTTCAGCGATTGTTTTAAACTTTTTTCAGATGTTTTCATCAAAACAACATAAGCGTTAATTATATTTAGTTTCAAACTACTAGTTTTACACTGAATCGATATCAACTGAGTTGATAACAAACGGATATAAGTGTGTTTACGTGTTGTTTGTGTTTTATTAAGCTACATAACGAGCTGGGCCCGGCATGGCCAGCTGGTTAGGGCGCTCGACTCGCAATCTGAGGGTCGCGGGTTCGAATCCCCGTCACACCAAACATGCTCGCCCTTTCAGCCGTGGGGGAGTTATTATGTGACGGTCAATCCCACTATTCGTTCTAGTCTTACACTGCTAAATTAGGGACGGCTAGCGCAGATAGCCCTCGTGTAGCTTTGCGCGAAAATTCAAAACAAAATCATAACGAGCTATCTATGCTGTGCCAGCCACGGGTATCAAAAGCCGGTTTTTAGCGTTATAAGGCCTACTTAAAAAAGCATAAGGAGTAGAAGGAAGTAGTAAAGAGATGTCAACATTTTATGTTCCTAAAACAAGAGTATTTTTGGAAACCGAATAGTAAGTCTGACTTGTTTTGTTAGGGATACAGTTAAATATTATGTACTATCAATTTGAAGATTGCTTGTAAATTAAACAAGTACAAACTTTACCATGTTTGATTATTGTAATACAGTTATTTTAAATACGCAATTTAAAATTGGTAATGTATGAGAAACAAAGATATAGAACATAAAAGCAAATCAAATCTAACTATATCGACTGAACAGATAGGGAGTTGTGTTATTTTGACAACAACAAGAAAACAGTTTGAGGTATTTACAACAAACATTTGTTTATCATATCAAGATCTTGTTTTTCAACCACGTAGAGAAAAATGGCTTAGTGGTTAATGTAAATTTGTGGGTCCAATACTCACGTCCCATTGTTGCATGTTGGGACTGGTTATAAGATTGACTGTCAAATCATTCTATTAAATTAGAGAAGCTCAAGAGTTGGCGGTGGGTGCTGTCGACTAGATGATTTTTATTTAGTCTACGAGATGAAAATTAGGCATGACTTGCGCAGAAAGCCCTTGTGTAGTTTTGTGCGAACATCTGAACCATTGTATAGTTTTGCGCCAATACCCGAACCCCTGTGTAGCTCTGTGCGGATACCTGAACCCTTGTACCTTTGCGCGAATATTTAAGCCCTTGTGAAGCTTTGTGCGAATATCTGAATCCTTGTGTAGCTTTGTGCGAATATTTGAACCCTTGTGTAGCTTTGTGCGAATATCTGAATCCTTGTGTAACTTTGCGCGAATATCTGAACCCTTGTGCGAATATCTGAAGCAAATAAAACTAACAATTCTCCTGCTTACCATGGTGACGTCATCAATTTTGCTGATACTTCTGATATATATGTTGACGCTCACAATCGCCGGACCATCTAGCAGAATGGAAAATAAAAGAATTAAAGAAAGTAATTACTGTTACCAGAATATTTCTATCAAAACACGATATGATCTTTACCAAAATACTCTTCGTGATTTGATAATTATTAATATAAAAACATAATTATAATATCAATACGACCTATGTGGTTATAATCTTCCCTGTAAAAAATATCGGAACAAATATAAGGTCGTCAAGAAATTAATGCCGCTTTTTTAGATGAAAAAACCTGAACAATTTATATATCAAAACAAAACGTTTATTAAATGAAATATTCTACACTCTTATTGATGATGCTTTTCAATCTTACAATCAGGTTGTTAATGCCCTGATTAAAAAAACCACTTGGCTTTGAAGCAAAAAAAAAAAAAAA